GAACTAATTGACCCGCTGTAGGTTCATGTTTATTTCGCGTTTTTTATGACGAAAAAATAATATTTAAAAACATGTCCATACAAATGATAAAAGTATTAGAATTACAACCGCTAATTTTTTTTAAATCGCCATATTTTTATTTAAAACGTACTATTTTCTCTCGCTTCGTCCGCCATTACTAGCATAAAAAAATCTCCGGTCGGGCCGCAATGCATTATGGGATATGCTGGGCCGGGAAGGATCCATCAGACCAGTCCTTCGATTCGGGCCAAAGGAAGGACGTATTTGTCGGCCGCATCGGAGGAGTCCTCGGTTTTGGACGTCCTTCGTCGCGGCGCTGTGACGTATGCGGCCGACAAATTCGGCCTTCGGAGGACCCGTCCTGCCGTTTTGGACACAGTATCTGATGTTACGTGGCTGCACTGTGTTAAAATGTCGGTATATGACATCCTTCCATGCGTGGCTGTGTGATATATTCATTCTGAAGCTGAATTAAAGCAGTAGGCTAACTCGCTAATGGCGAACATGTGAGTTTGCTAATAAACCGGCAGGCACAACAGTGATAAACTATTTTTGCGAGGGAACGCAAAAGAAACAAAATCTCCCATGTCGCCTCGCGGGCTCCGTACATTATCAATACTCATGTAAACTGGTCTTTATTTCACCCTTTGATTATTAAATTATCAGCAAATTCTAAACATTTTTCGTTATCCTTTCTTCTGATGAGTGATACTTTTACGATTAAAATGAAATCTAACAGGCCAGAAATGTTTTTATTCATTTTTATTTTATACTTTTTTCATTTGGAATCCCAGTTTTCCAACCAAAACCAAAAGTAGCAGATTTTTTTCTTTGTGTTTTTTTTTTCAAATGTCACCATCTGTAAGCTGAGGTTTGATGTTTGCTGTTCAGCTCCACAGTTACTGGAGCTAAAGGCGGCAAACGCTTTGCAAGCGAAACAAAGAACTGATTTCAGCAACATTTAATGAAACGCAGAGGTGGTTTGGTTTTTTAAAGGAGCAGGTGGCAGCTTTTGCCTGCCAGAAAACAGTAAAGTAGTTTTAATTAAATCCTAAATTCTTAATGTCCTAATTTGTTTTTTGTGGAAGCTTTGTAGGTATAAAGGTTTTCAGAACAACTAGCTGCAAATTTTATAACACTCGAAAGGCTTAAAATTGAACCCAGATGTGCAAAATTAGATCAAAAATCTGCCATTTTTCATAAAAGGAGTCTTGTGATTGATGGGATACTTCCATTTTTATTTTCAAAATAAACTTAATACCTAAAGTTAACTTATCAAAAGTCCTACAAACTTTTTTRCTGGCTGAGTTGGAGCAGGAAATGTGTGTTTTCTGGACATGAAACAAGCCACACAGATGGCCTGTTTGTCATCATGAAGGAGAGTTTGTTTTTTTCAGCAGATGTTCTCTCCATATATAGCTGACAGATTGAGCTCTGCTTCTGCTGGCCGCGACAACTTTTAGCTTTATTGGTTTTTAAATAAACACACAAACTATGACAAGTTCTGTTATCTCTTTGAAGAAGAAGTTTGGTGTCATAATTATTTTTATTTTAAAACTTTTTAGGCTCTTTAGCAGGTGCAGTACATATAGTTTGGATTATATTTCTTTTATTATCACCAGCTGCCAAATTCACTGAGCATCAGTGTTTTTGCCTATGTCTGTCTGTTCTGTTAGCAAAATATCTCATGAACGACTGAACAAATTTTAATGAAACTTTCAGCGTGTAAGCATTAGATAAACTTTTACAACTGATTAAAGTTTGGAGTTAATGCACTTTAAAATGCCCACCACAGTAGGGGTATCTTAGCAAACTGAAAACAGGCTATACCTCAGTAAAATTTGACATTACTGAGCTCAAGCTTAGTGTGATAGTAGCTGAGAGTCTCCCCCAACTTTTACTCAGAGCGTTATCCGATCAGAAAAGATCTGTGTTTAAAAAAATTTGCACTTACGTTTTAGAATAAACWCTGCCTGTCTGTTAGCAKAATATCTCATCAACCACTGGGTAGATTTTGATGAAACTCTCAYAAAGTAATTATGGGGTGCACATCTACAACTGATACAGTTTTAGTTTGAACCCAAATTAAAATGGCTGCTACAGCTAATTAACCTTTGAAAATGCAAACAAGGCTGTAAATCGGTCAGTTTTACAGATAAGGCGCTAGAATTTGATAGTAGTAGCTGAGAGRCATTCACAACACTTACTTTGAGAACTACTTGGCTTTTAAGCAAATTATTATCATGAAAGTGCCTCACTTATAGGACAGCAGTTTTTTTTTAATTAAAAAAAAAGTTACCATACCTGTCTGACTAWTGCTGACCACTAGGTGTCAGGATGTTCCCACATGTGGCCAAGTCTGAGCGGCACTACCTGTTCTGTAGAGGAATTCACCCCAGTTTGAGCTGAGCAGATAAATATTGAGAGAGACTATCTTCAGCTCCAGTATGGAGTTTAAAAAATACACCTGCCTTCGCTCAAGATGAAGCAGTTAGGAGCTCACGCTCACCTGGATGTCAGCCTCCTATAGGCCCCTCGGTAAATTGGCTGTCAGCCCATCTGACCCCGGGCTAATGGTGATTCATTATTGCTCACGCCCAGCTGCAGAGGTTCGTCCGAGTTGAGTGGGGGAGTGGGGTGGAGGAGAAGAGTAAAAAAAAAAAAGGAGTGGGGGATGGCTGTGTCCGCTTCTCGGCATCTAATGAGGARGGGCAGGAAAATAAACAAGACAGACAACCTGAGTCTCCATCAGCTCATAGTTCACAGAAAAGCAGCAGGAGGATTTCACCTGTGATGCATCTCAGTAATCCAGGTAAAAAATCAAAAAGAAAAAAATTCTATAGGTCRTCTGGACGGGTTCTTCTCTAATGAAACGTTTCGTCTCTCCTCCAAGAGACTTCTTCAGTCTGAGAGTTTCAGGCAAAATTCAGGCTTTTAAGCCCTGCCTCCATGTGACTGATACTCACATCACATGGCTATCGTTGACACCTAATTAACACTTATTGCAGACAGGAAACACAGACAGGATTCCATGCAACCTTCAGGTGAAAATGAAGACCCCAAACCCAGACCCAAATCAGTGGTTATTCTGTATGTTGCGGGTGTTTCGGAGAAACTGAGACGTTTATTTTCTAAACATGATGTCCCAGTGGCTTTCAAACCCCAAAACACATTACGGCAAAGGCTGGTTCACCCCAAAGATCCGGTGCCCCGGCACAAACAGAGCAATGTTGTATATGCTGTTAAGTGCCTGGAGGACTGCGACCAGTTATACATCGGGGAAACAAAGCAGCCACTGTTCAAAAGAATGTCCCAACACAGACGAGCTACATCTAATGGCCAGAACTCTGCAGTTTTCACTCATTTACAGGCCAGCGGTCACTCTTTCAGAGATGAGGATGTTCTCWTTCTTGATAGAGAGGAACGTTGGTTTGAGAGAGGAGTAAAAGAAGCCATTTTTGTGAAGAAAGACCGTCCATCATTAAACAGAGGTGGAGGCCTCCGTTTTCAGTTGTCCCCCTCATACAGCGCTGCTATTGCCAGTATCACTCCACCCCCTGTTAWCAATAGGTGTTAATTAGGTGTCAARGATAGCCATGTGATGTGAGTATCAGTCACATGGAGGCAGTGCTTWAAAGCCTGAATTTTGCCTGA